TCTGTCTCCAGGCTTGAATGCAGTGGCGCTGTCTTGGCTCACTGCAACCTCTGCCTCCTATGTTTAAGTGATTCTCCTGCCTCAGCCTCCTGAGTAGCTATGATTACAGGTGCACGCCACCATGCCCAGCTAATTTTTGTATTTTTAGTAGAGACAGGGTTTCACCATGTTGAATCTGCCCATTCTAACCATGCCTCAACTCTTCTGTGTTTCTGGTCCTGGTCCTGGTCCTGGTCCTTTTTCAGGAAAGTTCCTTCTCTCATATTTTGTTACATCCTGAGGTAGTCTCTTTGTGGGTCCAAAGAAGTCAGGAAGCGGATGGTCCTAGCAGTTTGAGGAATGGGTATCCGAGCTCAGTGACAGGCTTGGTATCTGTGTGCAGCAGGAGAGCACAGCTTTCTGTTTAACCAGGCAGTAAAGTAGAAGGACCTTTGCTTTGAATGCCAAAGGGACCAGGAGAGCACATCAGGCTGTAGGGAGACTTCCAGATTTCTGCTTGGTATCTTCAGGATGTACCTGGGGCCCAGAGATGAAATTTGCAATTTGCCTCCTGCACCTCACCTCGTCTTCCTCTTCTGTCTTCCAGTTCGCTTCCTACTCCACACACATCCACAAAGGAACTGGGAGATCTTAGAACCAGACACATTCTGTCTCCAAGCTCATACTGTTCCTGTGCCTGAAACACTCTGAAATTCTTCATCCACTAGTACCTCTCCCTTCTCCCTTCCTCCTTCCTGCATCCCAACCTGGGTCAAGGATCCTTCTTTTAGAAGGATCTCTCTGCAGGTACCTGAGAAATTCCACATGGAGCAGTTCCCACTGTTTGTGCAAGGCCCCTGAGCAAACCTACCTCATAATCCTTTCCACACTCTATTCCCCTGTTATTTATGTGTCTCTCCCATGAAAACATGAGCTTCCTAAGGACAGGGACCTGCCCCTTCCTCAGGGTCCTCACTGCTTAGCACCGTGCCTGCACCTAGTAGGTTCCCGGTAAATGTGAGCTGAATAAACAGCAGGACTCTGAAGGTTTCACTGCTCCTTAACCTCTTTGTGCTCCTTATGGAGCATCCAGCTGCCTGCCCCCAGGCCTCTTGGTGCATACACCTAGACACTTCACGCTTTAAAGCTGGGAGGATTTTTCATTTGTATTAAAACCTGTCTGTGGCTTATGCCTGTAATCCCAGCACTTTGGGAGGCCGAGGCAGGTGGATCACTTGAGGCCAGAAGTTTAAAACCAGCTTGGCCAACATAACGAAATCCCATGTCTACTAAAAATACAAAAACTAGCTGGGCGTGGTGGTGGGTGCCTGTAATCGCAGCTACTCAGGAAGCCGTGGCAGGAGAATTGCTTGAACCCAGGAGGTGGAGGTTGCAATAAGCAGCGATGTCACCACTGCATGCCAGCCTGGGCAACAGAGGGAGACTGTCTCAAAAA